GACGTGCACGTTCCTGAGGTTGTGTGTGTGACGTGCACGTTCCTGAGCGTGCACAGACAGAGCAGCTGCAGCTTTTGTTCACTTCCTGTAGTCCTGCAGTTTTCAAGCTGAAATGAAAAAGCATCATGAAGATGAACTTTACAGTCTCTAGTTACCTGTTCATAGAAACACATGGAGGTGTCTCACCTGGTGACTCACAATAAAATATGTAACTTTATGAACTCTAATGAACTTATAATGATGCTCCTACTCTCTGAAGGTGAACCCATGGTACCACACCATCTCTCAGTCGGACAATCTGATCAGTTTGATCAAAATCCTCCAGTTTAAAATCCTCACTGCTCAGATGAATCCTCCTCAAAGATACTTCCTCCTCTTCCTCACATCTTGTTCTTTGGGAAACATTCAAAATGAAAACAGGAGATTTGTGTCTACACAAAAACATTGTACAGAGGAGGTCAATCTTATTTTCTATCTCCTATATTCTCCCTAGTTAAATTTTTTATATCCTAGAACTTAAACAAAACTCCAGTTTTGATGCATATCTGTTGATAATGAACCAAAGCTGCTGAAATAGTGAGTATGATTGTTAGCAAAATATTCCTGTCATCAGATCTCAGTCAGCTTCATTGCAGCTGAACACCGTGTTACACTGAACATCACATCAGCTGGTGGACATAAATACAGTACAGTAATATTATATTCACAAAATACTAACAATAATATGTTCATCTTACTGTGAGAAGTTATCCCCCGAGACCTGACGGCAACAGTCGATTAGAACAGAAAGAAGCTGCGAAGTGCTGAGACATCTTCTGCTTTAACCAAATAAGGACGACCGTTTCAACATGGCGGCCGAAAATCCTGCGCCGCAGCAGCCGATGAGGCATCTAGTGTTTGATATCATGCCTAAAACAACATGGCAGCACCACCTGGGCTCATCTGCAGGAAGCACAAGTCTTCTGGGACAAAACCAGAGCAAAGTACAGATGTTTACCCAGAATGCACTGCACCAAACAGCTCCTCCCAGCTGTCAGCACGGTGGTGGAGGGCTGATGGTTTGGGCTCCTGTCAGTCACTGAGTGGACCAGAACTCTTCTTAGACCAAATGGTTCTGGAGAAAAGTCCATCTGTCCAACAGCTGAAACTTGGACCAAACTGGGTCCAACAGAACCATGATCCCAAACACAGCAGCTGATCTACAACAGAACGGGTCAGAAAGAAGAGAACAAAGTTCTGCAATAATCTATTCAGAGTCCAGAACCTCCTGAACTAATGCTGTGGTGGGCCATCAGAGCTGAGCGGAGTCCTCAAAGATGGAAATAAAAGTGGTCCAGAACTAATCCAGAGCCAGGAGTGAGGACTGATAGTCCTATAGTACCGTGACCGGTCCGAGGTTCTGATGCAGGCTCACACAGTGAGTTTTTAACAGTCCTGACCATCATTAATATTTTCACAGACCTGTCATTTCTCAGAAGAAAGACTCTGATCGGATCTTTTCCTCGTCGGACCTTCTGGTACCTTCAGGTTCTGAACACTCAAACACTGAACAGCATTTAGAAACATTTATTTTCATGTAAAGAGGTTGAATAAACTGCTGAAAACAGAAGTTTTACTGACAGCCGGTCGCTGTGAGCAAACCTGACAACAACGAGGTGATCCAGAACCAGCACCGAGCTCAGATCCGATTCAGTCTCAGCAGAAGAGCCGGTTCTGGTGTTCACCACCGTAAATAATTTAACATTAGATTTTGAGGTTCCAGGTACAACAGGGACACTTCAGGGTAGGGTCAGAGGACGTTTGGACAGCAGGTGGTCCTCCAGTTCTGCAGCAGCTCAGAACCAGCATCATGTCTGTCCCAAAGGGAGGAGATCCGAACCAGTACTTTGCTCCTGGAGGCTTCGACTCGGAGCGACGAGCTGCAACTGGTCCTGATAGACCTGGAACAAAACGATTCATCAGAATGAAGTTTGATGAGAACAGCAGTAGAGTTTCTCTCCTTACCTGAAAGTTCACGTCTGTCGGCTCTTTGGGTCTCAGGGTCTGCCGGGCCCGGTTCACCTGCCTCACCAGGTTGGTTGGGTTTGGGACAATAAACGAGTTGGTTGGCTGTAAATCAGCCATGACGTGTTCTACGACAGCTGAGGCAGAACAGAACACGTGTTCTTTAGCATAGGACTTCACCTGGAGGCAGAACATGAGAGATCTTAACGCTGTGGTCACACAGTATTTCATGAAGACCAAAGAATTACTCAGTACCTTTGCTTTCAGCCTGGTGGTGAAGACGCTGCCCGGTTCTGGTGGGTGGATGTGGGTCTTGTTACCAGGAATGAAGTCCTGTCCTCGCTGGATCACCGTGGCGGGACAGCGGTGATTCCTTCTCCTCACACAACACCACCAGTAGGTGGCGGCACCAGATTTTCTCTGGACACACGAGAACAAAACATGCTCACGTCATCACCAGCCACAGGAGACTGAAGGTGGAGGACAATGTCTTTGTCCTTCAGTTACTGGTCTTTACCTTGACAGTGTAGCAGAACCCTTCTCTGTCCACCAGCTTGTCTTTGCCGCGGTTCGAGCTGGCCTCAATGACTTCAAACGCCACAGGTTGGTTTACAGCCATGAAGACTTTGTCCTCGAGGCCATCCAACTCCTCGGGCAACAAATCCTCCAGGTCATAAGGTCTGTGTCCAGGAGCGTGTCCTCTCTGAACAGAGGACGTCCCACTGAGGAGGAGTGAGAGGGACGATGTGCGATGAGGACAGTCAGGCCTTGTTTCACCTGAAACAGCAAACAGGCTGTAAGAATCAGACCTACGGTGTTCTAAACACAAAACCAGTCGGTGAAGTTTTTCAGGCCATTGGAAAGCCCATCGAGTCGTCTTTCCAACGAGGTACAACTTGTAACGATCATCCATCCAAGGAAAGAACAGATAAACCTGCGGGTAGAGCCCTTAAAAAGGCTGCCAACCCCCCTGCAGTACTTCCTGTTGGTACGGACTCGTAACTCCAGGTACCGGTCTCAGGGGTAAGACTGGAACCAGTCGATATGCGCTCCGTCCTGTTTGTCCCATTAGAAGGCCCGGTTAATGGGACAACTAGAACCTGGTGTTCCTCTATGCAGCTCTGGAACCATTTCCAAGATGAGGGTCAAGTCTCATTCATTCAACCTTTATTTAGACAGATTAATCCCATTGGGCTTCAGGGACTCATTGACAAGAGAGACCTGATTTTAACAAAGAATGATGACAACAATGGACAATCATAAAATAAAGTATAGAAATAGAGAAAAACAAATGAAAGAAAATTGTATTTAACAAACGAAACAAAAACAGCTAGATTATAAGGCGGTGTAGAAAACTAAAAACAGGAACATGTCTGCGCTGGTTCTTCCAGGAACTGAACAGATGTTTGAAGCCACTTAGAGAGGTCAAAGGTCAAGAGCTTCAGATCTTTTTGTAAGATATTCCAGGAAACAGGAGCGGAGTAGGAGAAGGCCCTTTTGTCTAGTTCAGTCCTCACTGAGGGAACACTGCAGGTAATGATGTCCTGAGAGCGCACGCTGTAGCTGCACTCACACAGAGACATGTAGGAGGAGATGTATGAAGGCAGCAGACCAAGAAGTGATTTAAAGATGAAAATGTACCAGTGGGAGAGTCTGTGTGGAGTTAATGGTGACCAGTGAACCAGTGAACCAGTGAACCAGTGAACCAGTTAACCAGTGAACCAGT